ATGTCCTGAAAAATTAAAGTTAACATAATCTATTTAGTCGATGTTATTGAGTTGGATTAATGATTTAAACTTTCTTCATTAATTCTTAAAATGAAAAATACTGTTAAATATCACTGCAAGGTTAATTATATTCTTCTAAGTGCTGCCTATGCTGGGGCCTGGGGGCATATTCGTAACCTGACCACACACTAGACTTATTAGTGCTAAATTTACTTGGTGCTTATCCCACCATATCCATTTAGAGATTTTTATTAGTTTATATATATATATCTTCATTGTATTTCAGAAAGTTATTTACGTAAAACAAAGGGATGAGATTATACAAATCAGGCGCGTGAAAGTTGATAAATGAAGAAACAATACTTAGTATTTACCGTCAGCACTTCGTTTTATGTTGACTACAGATAAAAAGATAACTTTTCTAAAAAAATTGACAACTTTTAAAATTTTAAAAAAATAAAAAGATAGGATTTTTTTTTCTATATTTATCTTTTTTACTTGTCAAAAAYTTAATAGTGATTAGCAAAATATGTAAGTCTGACAGTAAGTACCTAAGCATTTTTCATATGGTGTATTTGGGAGTAATTTTAGTATGACTAAAATCATTTTTGTCATTGTCAAAATCACTCTCCTTTCTATCGATCATATTTGCAAAATAAAAAATTAATTTTAGGAAAGTTTAAGAGGTAAGGTATCTCTTTGACAGTAATTTTAAAAAATCAATTATAYTTAAATCCCTTTTTTCGAAACTACTCTTTCATTACTTCGATAAGTCACACTCTTGATAACATTTATCACTTATATAATTGAGTCTTAAACTTACAAAATCTCCAATTTAGTGAGAAAAAAATTTAATAGAATTGGCCATAATCTCCTAAGAGTAGTTTCATTAGCAAGGACATATAATATTGGAGTTCTGACATAGAATCTCCCATTTTGATATCATGATAGAAATAGATAAACCATCAATCAAAAAACTTATCGATATTGAATTAGATAAATTTAATTCATATACAGATATCTCAAGACAAATTTTCAGGAGAATTTAATATAAAAAAATTTTTAGGTCTCCTCATGAGTGGTGAGAGCGATAATGATTATAAACATATATCAACCTTTTATGTTTAACGTTAAACACAGTCCAATGAGAATGTTCTAGAAATTTGGTCCAGTAGCCTTAAAGATTAATTAATGCATATTTTAAATGCGGAAAAGTTAGCTTCCATCTTCCCCCACTGCCAAAGAATGTTCCAAGGCATTGGTTACATTAGAAGACAACAAAAGAATAGTGTTAAAATAAAAAGCACACCAATATTTAGTACCCTATAGTTTAATTAAATTTGTACTCATATTTAATAGCAATTGGTACGTACGATACAAGATTTCATGATATTTTACTATTCGTCACCAGTCATCCCTTCTTCCTTATCCGGACAAAGGATTTCTTTAATTGCTATACCTACTTCGATTTTTAAATACTTCTAAAATCTTGTTAATATCAATGAAATTTGTTGGCGAAGAAATTTGATAGATAAAGTTAATTGTACTGATTCAATACACGTCGATATCAATAGACGATAATAACGTTTGAGAAAATGTGTGTACATAGTTGGTCTTGGAGTGAAAACGCGCTAAAAATTATTAGTATAATCTCCGCCAAATATCCTCCTATTGAGTTAATTAGAATTATTTTCAAGCATAATCATTAAATAGTCATACCTTATTGGCCACTTCTAAGAGGAGTGAACATGAAATGATATAAAGGAGTGCCCTACTTTTTAAATCACATTATAACCTATATTAAGATAATACAATAAATCATATATATACACTTTAACGACAATGAATTTGTAAGATAGTTACTTGATTTTGTTGTTGTTATGAGTGAAGTAAAACTCAAGAGTATGGATTAAACGATAAAACCTCGAAAAGTCAAGTCCAGATATAAAATAGTCGCCTAAGAATTTAGAGGTCGAGACTTAAGAAGCAGACCTGACTCAAGAATCAAGGACCATGGCCCACAGACAAGCAGTCCGTAGGTTGGCTAGTCGACTTGGCCAAGCCACAAGACCAGGGTAGGTCTTTCACTCTTTTTTTTTACGTCAATAGATGAGTGAAGCGAAGGGACCTCAGACCGGTTGGTCAGCTCGAAATAAAAGGTTCAGAAAGTCTAGTTATTAAAAACGAATAAGATATCATACCTTATGATCTAGAGAGTCCAGAGAAGAGATCATGGAGAAGATATCCTAGTATCCTTAGATTTTYTCTCCTTTATAAATAGAGAGAAATTATTAAGATACACAACCCTACTATTTGCTATGCTTCACACAAAACTTCAATTATAACCTAAGCATTGGAGYGTGTGCATGTGTAATCTTTCTGTTAGGTAGGTTCTGTCGAATCCCTTTTATTCTAGAAGATTGTTGTAAATTTTGATAATCCTCATAAACCAAATTTATGCATCAAAAGTTGTGATTATATGTAGAARCTTGATATCTTCTTCRTCATGCATTGTGAGAGAGGAACGCCACTGTCCATATAATCAYAAAGAAAGATATAAACGAAAATCTCATTGTTTGGTTTTTAGGATATTTTAGACTGATTGCTTGATATGCATCATAAAGATTTTAGCTTTCATATGTTGATTTAGTTTGTATATGTGAAAGAAACTCTATTTCAATGCACATAGTATATTATGAGTGTAATTAGTTCGGTTCGACCCACTTGTGAGGTTGAACCAAAAACAAATAAATGATTTACATA